CTATATATTATTTATAATATTTATATTATAATAATATATGTATTATATTATTATTCATTTTTTATTAAAACTTAAAAAACACTCAAAGTGTCCAGTCTTCGAGACTTTAACAGAGAAACTAACAGCGAAGAGAGAACTCTAAACTTAGAAGGGCCAGAACCCTGTCTTCTTCTTCCTTTGTCTTCATTGTCAATTCGATGATCGCCATCGCTATCACCACTCGCCTATTGAACATTAGACGTCGTCGAACCTCTATCATCACCGACCACCAGTCTACCACTCGATGAGGAGGAAGTGGAGGAGAAGTAGAAGGAGAGAAGATTTGAATGGGTTTTTCGATAGATAATCTCGACAGATCTGAATGGGTTTCTCGGCAGATAATCTCGACAGATATGAATGGGTTTCTCGACAGACAATCTGAAGATCCGAATGGTAGTGCTTTGGGTTTTTGTTGTTTCTTTGTTTTTTTTCCTATTTTCCTTTTTTCCAATGGAGGAGTTGGTGGTTATTCGTATCTTTTGGAGCTCTGTGGTGGCTATTCATACCTTTTGGAGTCTGTTGATTCTTTGCATTTGCTCCAGCTGTTCTAGGGCTAAGAGTTTAGATTTTGTAGTGACACTCAGGGATATGGGTCCCCGATGGAGAATTCATCCCCGTCGGGGTTGGGGATGGAGGAGGATTCCTTTCCCTGACGGGGATCGGGGACGGGGATGGGGGGTGATTTGGGGGTCGGTGTTGGGGTCGAGGATGGGGAATGTAATCCCCGCCCCGTTGCCATTCCTACCTGTATTTGACTTTTTGCTCCAAAATCCTCATTTTAATTTTCTTATTTTGTATCATCTAAAAAATAATGTAACACATGCCTCGTGTAAATCTACATTAAATATTCTCAACCAAATTACCTAGGGCTATGTTTGGTTTGAAAGGGACGGAAAGATAGGCAAACCTATAAAAGGTTTGTACAAATTTCCCTTCCTCATATCAGATTTCCTTCTCATAAAAATGGTCCTCAAGGCCTTCACACATCAGGAACATCTCCAGACTTGAATGTTTATAACTTTATATTCATGGAGAGATGTTGTGAGGTGGGTGTGGGGAGTAAATCTGTATTCTCTCTTTCTCTCTCTCTCATCCCATTTTGCCATGCTAGAACAATGAAATCAAAGCCTTTGATGTATTATCATGGTTTTTAGCCTTACACTTAAACTATGTCATAGTAAAAATGAACTCCATCAAGCCCTCTTTTCTCTCATAAACCCCCTTTGAAATAGGACTGGATCTAGTAGGCACAACATAAGTAAGCATGTTCAGTGACATTTAATAAATATTTTGACATTTGTCAAAATTAGGTTTTAATCTTTTTCAAGAACAGACGGAGGGTAATTTAAGGGACAGATGTCAAAAAATTTCCAACTGTCATAAGTATATCCTTTTCATGCCCGTTATTTAATTAACTTAAATAAAATTGTTAAATAATTCAAAAGTAAGAGGTGCAAGTTAGGCAAGTTGTGCTAAGATCAACCCTATAGAGCCTAAGACCCGAGCTTGGACCAACAATAAGTTCAGTGGTAGAAAAATGTGCGTATAACCCAAAGTCCCAAATCCAATCAACTTGGGTTGAAAACTCTAAAACCTACAGCTCCAAGCAAATTGACACGAGAGCGACAGATGGAACTGGCATATGATATTTAATTCTGTCACAAGACCGAAAAAGGGAATGAGATTGGATATTTTGAGTTCGGATCTCTTACCCATATATATCCACATGATATTACAGCTGTCTAGTGGAAATATGTTCGATGTTTATATATTATCATTTATGGGAGATCTTCTTAATGTATAATTTTAATTTTAGTATCTTGTAGATAGATATGAGTAGGATTCTTGTGGGTAGAAGATTCAGATTCTTTACAGAGGAGTATGAATACATGATAAGAAGCAAAAGCCAAAGCAATTCGGATCTCCCACTCACAAGAATCCTACCCATATCTACTCACATGGCATCACAATTCATAACTACACTTACATTTCCATCTTCTACTTGTAGGCGTGGGTAGGAGATCCGATTGAACCAAAAGCCATGCATTAATACAGCCATTGGTTTGCTTATATCCTTTGCTTTTAGGGGTTTTGATCAAGGTTTTTAAAACCGATTCAGAGATTGAACCAGTCAAGGGTCCGGTTCCTGGGTTGAACCGAACGGTCGGCCCATTCTGAAAAAAATAAAAAATGGTGAAAATCGTTCAAACGGTTCGAACGATAATCACCCGGGTCAGAGATTTGCTGATCAAAATTAATGATTTTTTGTAAAAATTCGGTTTTGCAGAAAAACGAAACCAGTCACCTAACCGATTCCTGGTTTTTTCAGTCCGACTGTCCGGTCCAATCCAGTTTTGAAAACCATGGTTTTTATAGTTCAGTCCACTCCAAAAATCTGAACCCACTGTATAGGTGGGATGAATTCTGACCATGGATCAATGCCAAACCCACCGCCAGGATGCAGTTTATAGAGAGGACTGTAATTGCAGATTTCTGAGGTGGACTGCCGTCTATTGCCGCGACATTCAACACATCAACTCTCTTCTCACTCCATCTCTATCAATGGCCATATGAAATATTTAATATCTGTATTCTATTTACAATTGATTAAACTTCGATCGACTAGTTTGACTGTTCAAGTTCGAATGCTTTAATACTCGGGCCCAGGTTGAACGTTGAAGGACCAGACCGTGGGTGGTCTTTCGGCAGGTTGGACAGACAAGCGGGACCGGATCCAGTAGGAAGTGAGTATTATATAAACATTATGATGACCGTTAAAAGTTATCTCTAATCTTTTTTCAAAGGTATATTGAAGGTATTTCAAGGGACAGGTGTCGAAAAATTTGAAAATACTTATTTAACGTGCTTACAAACAATAACGTGCCTACCTGATCAGAACTCCAAACAATAACGTGCCCGATTAACCAGTAAAACCGGAAACCATATAACATTCTCATTTTTAATTCTATCAAGTCTTAAAAACATTGGTCCTCGGACTAGTATTGACCTTGACCTTGATAGTTTGATGCTTGAACATTGAAGCGTGATAGTCACGTGAGATGAGAGTCCCACACAACCATGATACATGAACCCCCAAACACATGGAAGGAGGGAGGGAGGGTGATAAGGCATATACATTAATTAGGGTATGTTGTTAGCCTTTTTGGTTTTCTTTTGGAAACACCCACAATTTTTAGGTGAATTTTTTGGAAACACCCGCAATTTTTAGGTGAATTTTTAGTCAACTTTGAAGACGATTTGCAAAATCCTATTGTATTATAAGAGATAGATGCGGTTTTAAGGAAATTGACTCAAGTTTACTATTTTGTAAATCCTAAACAACATTGGAGGTGATTTCGAACATCAAATCTTAGGTGTAGTGTTTATACTTTTTTACGGATTTGAAAGGCACAGAATGTTAAGTTTCATTCTCCCTTCACTATTATATATATTTTCCAATAATTCCTACTTACAAAGTGAAAGTGCAATCTCCAAATACTTGAACTAAAAAGATCTTCCAACGAAGGCCATGTATCAATGGTGAAATAACAGACTTGGAATCACTTTCAATTATCAAAATTGAGAAACCAAATTCTCTTTAAGCTAAAATATAACAGTCACAAATTGCATTAAATTCATCGTATTCAGTAGATTTTGGCAATCAAGGGGGCACCTTTACCATACAGAAAGGAGCCATTATAGTTTCTAAAGATAACACCAAAACCACTAGAATACATGGACATTGGCCCATTCTAAATGATGGGGATGGATAATAGGATGGTGCAGATCCACAGACACCACGATTGAGCCTGTGAGAGTATCTTATCCCTTGCTCTGCGGGATTTGCCTCCTTTGCCATCAGTCCTACAATATTTGTTCATCTTTTAAGAACTGAAGAAAATTAAACAGGACATGTCTCACGTTTTATACTGGACCTCATATTTTATCTTTTAATCAATTCTCTTGTCTCTTTGTTGCGTGTTTATATGTTTTTTGCAAAGCCCAATGTATTCATGTATGCTGCCACACAGCCACAGTAGTGATAGAATGTCGCAACATTCTCAATGAAATATAAATATATATAAGTTAGGGATGCAAATGGATTGAATTAGATTGGTTAAATCTTTTTCTAACCAAAAGATAAAAAAACTTTATTTGAAGCTTTCGAAAATAACCCAAAATAAACTTCTTAAATCTTTTTGGGACTATGGCTTTGGGCCATTAAATCTTTTCTAAACTAAATAGAAAAAGATCAAAACACAACTACCAAACTTTTAAAAAACTGACAGCTTGCATGAAAAGACCCGCCAAACAAGGCTTTAGTTTACGGAACGAAGAAAAAAGAAAACAAACAAGAAAGAATCCATGTATCTTATGTACCAAAAACGATGCAACTGGCTTATGGCGTTGGGTGTGTTAACCTTAACCAAGAGACGAACATAATCATAAATATGACAAAAATACGAACACATCAAGAGAAAAAATAATAGGAGAAGAAATTCATCGTAGCACACAATGAGCCATATATTATTATTGCACTAGGTTTTATTAAGGGACCTACCGAGCAGTAGTGGACAACTTTTCAGGTAAGCCAAATGAATGGACGAAAACACTTGGGCCAACAGCCTTGGCTTCACATCAATACGACCACCATCCCAAAATTTTGTTCATGTGTTTTTTCCCCTCTGAAATCCAGATTCTCTTTTATCTCTCTCTCTCTTAAATGTGCACGTTACCAGCAACATGCGTACGTAACCTTTTCCCATCAACCATGCCTAAACGCTTTTATGTTAAGTAGGTTGCTATCCCCTTTCCCTTTCCTTTTAGACTGTGTTTGGTTCGTTAGAAAATAAGAAAGAGAAAGAGAGAAAGTTGAGAGAAAATTCTTGACGAATCGAGAGAAATGATCAAGTGGGAGAGATCACTTTGAATAAAGCGTGTGAACCATGGCTCTTCACTCATTGGTTGGAAATTCAATATATAGCGACATATTTTCACAGCATCTGAATCCTGAACTAATCCTCAACCCAACGATTGATAAAGACGGTAGAGCTACCTCAAACCAATGTTTTACTGAACGTGACAATGTAGGACTATTCAAACTGAACGTGACAATGTAGGACTATTCAAATGAAAGCGAATCCTCCTCTCTCTCTCTCTCTCTTATTGTTTTGGAGGCTAATAAGTAATAATGCATGTTATATAAAGTTTAATTGCAAGAATAAAACTGAACTTACGGGAGTAAACTAAGCGAAGAAAGCAAGAGCTCCTGCTCCTTTTTGCTTCTCCCGGCCAGACCCTTCAAGGAGGATATTATCGTTGTAAAACTAGGCCTGTGAAGAGGAATCGGAGAGCATCTTTTGGATCATTTGCCTTGTCTCCATTTCGGCCATCCTGCCTTCTCTGCTCTTCGTATATGCCTCGAAGAATTCCTTGTTCTCTTTCTCCAACTCCTTCCACACTGAAAATATTACATTCGTACATGAAATTACTCTATGTAATCTACGTGCTATTGTATGAGGGAGAGAGGGAGAGAGAGAGAGAGGGGATATGATCCAGCTCACCTGTTGAAGTAATAACAGGTTTGATATTTGCATGTTTAGAAAGTGCTTCCACGCACTCTTCTTTAGTCATGTGGAAGAGGATACACTTCTCTATCAGGTGTTGCACCTGCATCATCACGTCACCACCATACCAACAACCAGAACCAGCACCCTTAATGAACGGATCGAGTATTAATAAATAGCTAGAAAGACAGAGAGAGAGAGAGAAGTTTTTGTATTTACCAAGCGAATATATGAAGCAGAAGAATCCCCCATGATTGCAATGCTCCTGTTTTTTCTATGAGACTTCTGAAAGGAAGAGACTAGAGAGGAATAAGAAGCGCTAAGAGAGAGATTGAGTTGGTAGACAGAATGACAGATAGAAAGTGAATAATAATATGATGAACAGAATAGGACATCATACATAAATAGGTCTTGTAGAGAGAGCGAGAGAGAGAATAAAAATGAATAAACAAAGGGAAGAGAGGTGAAGTAGTAGGGCCAGCACCCACCCCCCACGTGGGAGATGGATGATAATTGGCTGAGAGGTGCTTACAAACGGCCATCGAGTCACCTTCACGTGACTGGTGGGGTCCACAACTCACTTTCAGAGTTCAGAGTTCAGAGTTCAGACCACGCTCCGGCTCGTGCTGTGCCCGTGCGTGACAGAAGACGATTGAATTTAGAAGAGAGGCACTCAGGCACCGCGCCCACCCCACCAGTCATCAGTTCACCACCTCTCTCTGGATAAGTCGGGCGATCCCCCTACACTAACCAATCATAATTCAAAACTTCACGGGATGGCTACGGCATACTGCATACTGCATACTGCATACCCAATTCTTCCACAGTCAGTCCACATCCACAAGGATTTGGGCGTTAGCACCGGATCAAATTAACCGCGCCGAGCTCCACAGTTCAGACCCAACGTCATGATCTCTCTCTCTCTCTCTCTCTCTCTGAAGTTTTGAAGCCCAACATTGAACTCTGACAAACAGCAGTGGCTTTTGGATGGTATTGGTATGAACAGGATGGGTGTATGCTTGCTTTCACGTTTGATTTTGTTTGTAGCAAGTAGTTGTTTGGTTTGTTTGGTGAAAAAAAATAGGGATACCTTGGAGGCTCCGCCCTTCCTTCCATTTTAAGACAAACACTATTCTCCGGCCGTGCTTGCTTCCTTTAATTTCCTCATCCCTTGTCATGTATGTCCACCATCATTCATCAAAGCTACCCTGGCTGGTGGACCTGCAACTGACGCCATTGCTGCCTGGTATATTGTAGGGTTTCGAATGGATGAGGAGGATGATAACCTCGTAGAGGTATTTTTGTCAATAAAAAATAAGGGCAAGTTCATCCCATTCGAACGAAGAAACATTGTTTAAGAAGTGATTTTTTTACCCCACTTTTTTATCAAATACTACTTATTAATACTTAAAAACCACTTAATATATGGGCTCATATCTTAAAAAGAAGTAATCATTCAAAGAAATAATTTTTAAAAGTAAAATTAAACAGGGCCTTTGACTTATTTCCATTTCCATTCTCTATTCTCTATAATAATATCTACGGACAAGTACAGATACGATGCAGAATTCTGAATTCCAGCCCCCCTATTACTAGCCCTCTCTCCTCCTAATATCTATGGACTAGGCTAATACTCCAGCCTAGAATAGGAGAACCCAAATATGCGTCCAAAACTAATGGTATCCTACACTGAGCAAAATGCCCACATAATGCTCGACCTTTTGGACAACTGACTACTTCCGTTGCCATATTGAAACCCTCTTGTTGATGGATCAACTACATTTCATGAGTCATCGCTGACATTGTTATTATTATTATTTCTCATTCTCGTAAAATCAAATCAACAAAAAGAAAGAAAACAGACCCCAAATTCTCCGTCTCCGCCATCCATCATGACGGTAGACCTGACCATGTTAGCCGACTTCCATCAACCTTCGACCCAATTAATCTAGATATAGAGATTGTGCAGCTAGCGTAATCACTTCTAATTAATCAAACCCTTAATTTCTATTATTCTTGGCTCTCAGGTTTAGTAATGCATCCCAGTCATAGTAATAAACTAAAAAATCCGGACCCAACGAGACAACTACATTAATATTGAACCACAAAGCTTATATATGTAAGAACCTGCAGCTCTTTTTCTGGTCGATTTGGCAAAAGAATATCTTATGGGGAATAGGTTTTTTATGTGTTAATTTCTCGAAATATACTAATTCTTCATTATCATTTTTCACTTTTCATCAAAAATTACATACACCCAAATGTACTGTTCAGGCTAGTTGTGTTTTTCTCATAATCGAGGACAAAAATGCTTCATCCACAGGAGTATACATGTTAACCATAGAGGGATCAGAACTCTGTAAGCTTGCAGCACACAAACAGAAGACGAAATAGAAGAAATAAACCAATTCTCCAAAGGTTCAATACTTTTTCACTAGAAGGCCTTAATATATATTTACAATAATGCCCCTCTAGTCTAAGATAAAAAAATTAAAAATAAAACACGAGCAAAATGTTACAGCAAAACTATGTATTACAGACAGTATTGTTCACAAAAGAAATGTAAATTGGGGTTAGAATAGGAAATTTCGGAACAAAAATGTAAGTGGTAGTGGTGCATTTGTTGCAAGTGTGGAGGAAATTTTACGAGCTTCTGTTGTTGTGACTTGTGAGTAGAACAACCGTACAAGAAAGAAAGATTCGTGTTGGGTCGCCAGAACCCAGAAAGGAACACGTACACCAACCCACCCACTGTTTCATCAGCTGAGCCTGGGCCCTTCCCTTCTGTTTCATGCGAATTTTGGAGAGTTATTCGAAAGATCACAAAGAAGTGCAGTGAGGCATAGAACGGAATTTCGATACTGTGTCTGTGTGATAGTAGGAAAATAAATGAATATTAAATGGCATTACTTATAGTAATACTGTTTGACAGGTTTCTCTTATCACTCTGTCTTCTTTGAGTCTTTCTCTTTCCCTTGTCTTGGCCGGCTTCCCCGCACAAAACTCCAATATAACAGATGTCGTCTCTTCTCCTGGGCTCCCACTGATTCAAAACCTCTTCTCTTCTCATTCTTTCTACATTTTCTTTCTATTTTTTTTTTCTTGGAGGCGATGTCAACCAGAAAGCATAGTCTACTTTCTAAACCAAACTCACTCATAAATCACAAACCTTGCAAACAAACCCTCCTTTAGGACTGAAGACTTTCTAAACTAAACTCACTCATAAATCACTAGGCTTCAATTTTGGAGTCAGGGGCCTGGGCCCCCTGGGGTCCTCGCTCCATCTGCGGATCCGGCGCCCTAAACTTGCCAACTATCTATTTGGAATTCACCATCAGATCAGATCCTACTCAAGGGATCAGTTGGTCAAATAACTTGCTAGTCCAGAAAGTTCTAACCCTCAGATTTTGTTACATTTAGGGTTCATTTTGATTTACAGTTGGAACCGGAATAAGAATCAAAATCCACCGGAATTTGAAATTGGAATGGTATATTCCCATAATCGATCTGTTTGTTTCAGATGAATTAGAATGGGAAATGAAATCAGTTGGAATGGGATTTTACTTCCAAAGGAGGGTGAGGAATGGGGATTTGAAGATTCCCTCAAATGTGGAAATGTCATTCCATCAAGAATGAGAAAGGGATCCCAATTCCACCCAACCATACTATTGGAATTGTCGGGTTCTAGACCCCCCCTATTCCCACAAAGCAAATTATCCCTTAAAACAGACAGTAGGAAAACTTTCTTTGAAGTTCCAAATTAAATTAAATTATAAAAAAAAGTCATGTTTAAATTGATTTTCCTTTTCCATATAGTCATAATTTTAGTAGGAATTCATTCATTAAAGGTAGGGGTGGATTCGAGCCGAGCCAAGCCGAATAGTACCAGGCTCGAGCTCGGCTCGAGACTATTCTATAAGGCTCGAGCTCGAGCTCAATTTTGAGAAAAAATATTTTATAAAAATAAAAATTATATATAAAAAAATTTTATTTTAAAATTAAAAAATTAAGAATTATAATAATTAATAATTATAATATTTTTATTATATATATTATTTTTTATAATTTTATTATATATATTATATATTAAATATCAAATATATATTCGAATTGGCTCACGAGCTGAGCTCTAATAGGCTTGAGCTTGGCTTGTTTAATAATTGAGTCACTGAATTGAGCTCAAACTCGATTAAAACCGAGCCGATCTTGAACAGCTCATGAAAAGCTTGACTCGTTGTCACCCCTAATTAAAGGCCTCTATGTTACCCTAATCGCTTCTACTTACAATGTTTGTACCTAAAACTAGTCTTAGAAATTGGGAAATAATTAGTTCTTTTATACATAACTCAATGCATATTTATTTATTATTGTTTAACAACCACATCACTTGGGGAAGTAAATGAGCCGAAAGATGCTTTAGAAGATGAGAAGAATTCTCTGGTTCAACTATATCCAAGGGCAGGGCAGGCTTTAAGATACCTCTTCCACCGCCCACCATTAAGAATGTTATAACAAACGTTGCTATTTCTTAGACCTAGAGCTTTCATATTGGACTGCTCTATAATTGAACTTGTCTAGGGCGCTGATAGAACTATAGCTAGAGTTGATATAGACAGTTCAAAACTCAACAAAAACAATCACGGGGAAATTGTTTCCTTCATGCTACAAATAGTGGACTGACATCCCAGCAATGAAAAAGTGTTTTAGCACTTTTCCCTCTTAAGAACAACCATTGGAATTGTAATATTTAAATATTAGAAGAGACGTGGAAGTGATCTATTTGTCTGAAATTGCCACATTTGGATGGACCTCTACCCATTGCTGCCATGAGTAAGACTTGCTGCCCACTATAATCCACTCACTGCATAAACCATGTGCATGATTGTGACTTGCATACATTTCATAGGGACTCTCCTACTGTATCATCATCATCATCATCACCACATTGCCATAGCATGCAGAATGCTATGATACAAAAAAAAAAAACTCTATTTTAATTCATATCTTTTGTTATGTCAAATTCCCAAAATAGGGCAGGATGATAAAATTGGTTATATGTGGGGCGCCTATTTCTTTTTCTTTTCTTTATTCTTCAACGGAATTATATGGATAATTTGTGGTTGTGCCGGTTGAACATTTGTTGTCTAATTATGGTGTAATTTATCATTCTCATGATTTTAGGGGTGGCAACGAGCTGAGATTTTCACAAGCTGTTCGAGTTCGATTTGTGAAAAGCTCAGTTCAGCTCGGATTATATACATATATATATATATATATGAAGGGATGAAAGATCCATCTTATGGATAGCCGAACCTTGCAGGTAGGTAGGGCGAAATTTCAAAAATTTCTCTCTCTCCCATATGGGAATCACATTCCATGTTTTAGAAAATTGTATTTTCAAGGATCAATCTTGAACCTAAATCGGACCAGATCTGAAACCAAAAGGTATGAGAGGGATGTACCTGATATGGAGTAACAGTAACTCCCAACGAAAGTGTTCATGCCCAAGGAAAACGTCAAAGACTGCTCCCACTAAAGATGACAGCGTAGGGTGGAGCAGAATCAGCAGGTGGTTCTTCAGCAAGAACCTAACTCTTCAGCAAGAATTCGATGGAGGGTGAGTGAGCACGACTTCAGATCAGTTTTTCACAAAAAACTGATATCAAGAACGTTTCTTGATCGCTCCTACAAGATCGAACTGGCAATGGCAGCAATAATAGGAGGAGGCAAGAGTAGAAGATGGCGTCAGTCTAACTGAAACTGTCTTCTCTCTTGAATCTGTAATCTAATTGGTGTTTTGTAGGGTTCACCCTCCTCCTCTATTTATAGCCTTAAAGAGAGATTCTCCTAATCCTATTAGGAGTTTCCTAATCCAATTCTTGTATTTGGATCTGAACTCTCTTTAAGAGATAATGATAATTCCTTATCTTATCTGCAGATAAAGATCAACCCTCATAATCTGATTAGGAGTTTCCTGATCCAAATCTCTATTTGGATCTAGACTCTCTAAGTGGATAAGGACAATCCCTTATCCTATCTGCTGATCTAAATCCCAGAACCGCCCCTCTTTAATTAATCATATTAAACCARTTCGAWTTKGGCTTTAGGCCCATTAAGTCCATGTGCTCACTTATCCTTCAAACTGTTGCCCAGTTGGATATCCTTATATGGCGTGGGACCCAAACATTGATATACACATCAGCCACATGGG